ACATCTTTAAAGGCCCAATCTCCAAATACAGTTATATTTTGAGGTATTGGGGGTTAAGACTTCAACATATGAATTTTGGGAGGAACACAATTCAGCCCATAAAGTCATGCAGAAGACAATTAAGCAGCATTAAAAAAGAATTCCTGCACTGATCTGGTTGAATCTTGCAGACATGATAATGAATGAAAGAAAGTATATGCTTTATGATTCTGTTTATATAAAGTTAAAGCACAGGCAATACTGATCTTCAGAGACAGAAGTCAGGATATAGTTACCTCTGGGTAAAGGATGTTGACTGGGAAATGGCACAGGGGACAAGGGTGCCTTCTGGGGGGCTGGAAATGTTCTCTATCATAATCTGGGTGGTGGTTACATGGGTGTATACATAGCTAAAGTCCTTTGAGCTAAATACACTTAAGATTTTTGCACTTCATGTTATGGATTTTAAATCTTAATAACAATATTGAGATTTAACAAATAACAAAACCTTAATAACAATGATTAGAAAAAATGATGGGTTATTAAGAGGAAGGTTTGGGAGCAATTATTTTCGCCCTTGTAAAAGTATCAGAGACTAACACTAATGGCTGTGAGAAAATGTGCGCCTGCTGGTTTAAACAAAGAGGTGGTCTCGTTTGATCATACAAGTCATTAATCATGACTTAATGAATGAATTTACTCACAACAGTGCCCTCTTTTCTGACCTAAATAAAATGTGTACCCAGTCTTACCTAACTTAGTGCTGGCATGGTCAGCCTACAGGCAGGGGATACTGATTGATTAGGCTCCTTACTGGCTTTGTTATTCTGTCTTTGGACAACTTCCTAAATCTGTATTCAGGCAGTCAATAGAATTTACTGAAGGCTGATTATGTTTCAGCTCTGTTCTAAGCACTGGAAGTAGAGCAGTGAATAGTATTGGGTGGGTGGGGAAAACTTATCATGGAGCTTACATTCCCACAGGGAGATAAACAATGAGCAAATAAGTAAAATGTATAGTTTGCTAAAATGCTGAGTGCCATAGAGAACACGGAAGTGGACGTAAGGGTAGAGAATGCCGGGGCGGGGCTGGAGGGTGACTATAACTTTAAATAGGGTAGTCAAGGCTTCCTGAGAAAATGATACTTGAACAAAGACTTGGTCATTTCTAAGGAAGGCGAATGAAAGCATCAAGACAGAGAGGAAAAGTAAGATTACCAAACGTTGCAATGTCCCCTGAAATCTGAAAAGTTCCACATTCTGTAATATATGTTCTCGGGGAGAAAAACAAAATCAGTCATGCATTTCCAAGTAGGCTGGGCTAATCGAGCCATGGAGCTCTCTGGAAATTCAGTGGACAAACATTCAGTACCTGGTAGGTGCAGGTGAACAAACCTACGTGGACTTTGCCCTGTTGTAGTTTTGAGTGCAGTGCTGTGTTTTACAAACTTTTTAATATTATCATCCCATTAAAGAGCTCTTTTAGAAATTTTATTCCCAAACTCCTTCCTATCACCATAAATTTTAGCATCACAGATATACTGTATATCTGTTTATGTACTATGGCTCTTTGGAGGGCTGCAAGCCATTGTAATATGTAAAAGTGTTTCATTCTCCAAGAACCAATTTTCACCTCCTTGGAGATGCTGTCACCACCATTGAGAATATATGGTTTTTGAGATGGGGAGATTTTTCTAGATAATCTGAGCGAGTACACTGTAATCACATCAGTCATTAAAAAGAAAAGCATAGAACCATCCTTGATAATAATCAGAAAGAGGTGTCATGGTAAAAGAAGGGTCAGAGAGATCTGAGACCTGTTGCTGTTGGCTTTGAAAGCGGAGGAAGGAGCTTTGAGCCAAGGAATGCAGGTGGTCTTTGGAAGCTGGCGAGAGCAAGGAAACAGATTCCCCAGTAAGCCTCCAGAAAGGAACACAACCTCACTATGTCTTAATTTTAGTACAGTGAGACCCATGTCTGACTTCTGACCTCCAGAACTATAAAACAATAAATTTGTGTTGTTTTAGACTGAGAGATGAATATGAATATGAATATGAATATATGGTCTAGTGGAAGACCAATATTAAATAATAACTCAAACTTACAAATAATAATTTAATAATAATTTATTATCAATATCATTAATTAATCGATACTAAATATTAATGTTAATTATTAATATAATTAATGATATCATTAATAATTTATTGATAATAATTTAATAATAAATGCTGAAAATGCCAACAAAGGAAAAGTAGAGGTTCTATGAAAGCATGTGACACTCCTAATGGAGGTTCTGGGGTGGATGCCTGTGAAGAAGTCACGTCCTAGCTAAAAGCTAACCAGGAGAAATACTGGGAGGTGGGACATTCCTTGCAGGAGATCGACATCCACAAAGAACCCAAAAACGAAAGGAGCTTGGTGTTTTGGTAGTTGGATGACTTCTGAAGGGTCAGTGGGACTGGCGGGTCCCACGTAAGGGGAAGAGGAGGCTGGAGGGTAGAAGGGGGCCCAGTCATGCAAGGCCTGGCAGGTCATGGTATGAATTTTGGATTTTATCCTGCATGTAGTGATAATCCACCACAGGGGCTTGAGTTGGGGAGCCCTCATATTTTAAGGGTGCATGTTGACTGTGGATAATGGGTTGAAGGAGCAAGAGCAAAGCAGATAGCTCTGCTCTGAGCAGGTGATGTCATTGAATCTGAGCAGAGAACTCTAAGAGGACTTTGTTGGAAAAGTAAAACATGTCCTCTATTCCACCTAAGAACAACTGTCAAACAGCAAAGCCTAAATAATAATCTAATTGCTGAAACTTTATTTAGTTCTTCCAAAGCCCCTGAATGCCCCAAATGTGATCGACACTGGACACAACTTTGCCGTCATCAACATCAGCTCGGAGCCTTACTTTGGGGATGGACCAATCAAATCCAAGAAGCTTCTCTACAAACCTGTCAATCACTATGAGGCTTGGCGGCATATTCAAGGTAAGGTTTGGACAGGAGAGGCCCCAGCTGGGGATGTAGCACCAGGAAAATAATTCCCCAAATATGGAAATCTTTTCTCCCTCCTGCAACTGTCCACCTCAAGGTGGCGGACGATCCATTTCAGTGTGTTCAGGAGGGAGTGTTAAGGGGACCTCTGGCTTCTGGGGCTGACTTTCTGGAAGTCATTGTGTACTATGGGACACAGAACCAGCCTGCATCAAGCGTTTCTGTAAATATTTCCTTTCCAGGCTTTTATGGCTCTCCAGTCCTGTTTATAGTTACTCTGTCTTACCTGGCCATGGTGGTTAACACCATGATAAGGGAACAGGAAAGTCCAGGCCTGCTGGAAAGGCAGAGAGACTTAATCTGCCTAAATTCTAGGAGTGGACATTGCTGCTATGTCTAGTCATTTATTTTTTTTCTCATTTTGTGTCTTGCTCTGTCTTGTAGGCCCCTAATGCAGATTTTTGGAGGAATTTGCACCTGCAAAATTGGGGCTGTGGCAGACCAGACCTGGGGGGGGGCAGGGCGCACGTATGGGTAAAGAGAACTATGTGCCCCTACCCCAAATTCCTGGCAGAAAAAAATAAGAATTCAACACAATGTGACCAGATGTCCAAAGTTCATGGAAACAGTTAATTTTGAAACACAAATTACAATTCTATTTGTTGCATGATGATGTAAAAGCACAATTTTTAAAAATAAAACAAAACTTGTACATTGTCAATTGACCATGCTGCTTTGATTAGGCCATTTTATAGAGAGACCTGCTACTATCATGCTTGTAGGTAACATGTCTGTAACGTCTCTGATTTCCTAAAAAGGGCCCTCTACCCACTGTATGTAGATAATTTGAGAAAGTTACAAAAAGAGGGAAGAAAAGGAGGCTTAATAACACTAGCTGACCTGGGTTCACTGAATAAAGTCATGGAATTATTACTGAGCTCTTCACATTCTCTTGTAGACTCAGACAAAATTTAAGATCTTAGTGATGTAGGCTGATTTGCTCGATTGCTTTTTTCTAATATCAATGGTGAGGTCTCTTTTTGTCATATGGTAGTAATAATCCATTGCTATTTCTGCAAGTGGACATGCGCAAAGTGATCTTCTAAGAATTGTTAAACACAGCCCAGTTTTTTTTAACCAACTAAGAATTTATCATATGTTAAGGCAAAATTTATCTTTGCACTATGCATGGAGAAACAGAAGCTGGGTAAAGCAATCGCTAAGGAGAAAAGAGGCACATAACGTTTGTTCATGAAAACTGTTCTCAAGGACTTCAGAACCCTTCATTTTAATGTATGAACATTACAAATCAGTTACCTGGTCACTTTAAGTCCTAAAAGATTCTTTTTCTCTTAAGAGCTTGAATGCAATCAGTGTGCATGAATGAATGAAAACAGTAGAAATTAGATTATTTTTCTCTAATTGAGTTTTTCCCCCTAAATCTGGTATTCCATATAGCAGGAGATTTGTGAGATTTTTTTCTACAAATGAAAAGACAAAACCACTAGAGAAGAAATGTATAAGTGGCACAGAGATACACATATTAATATGTACATTGTAGCCAGGAAATATCCTTTCAAAAGCCTTAATTTTTCTTATGTTAGGAATGATGAGGCCTTGAAGATGGAATTGCTTCTTAGTTTCACTAAGACATATTTTTCAAAACCTAAAATTAGCTCACCTCACAGTAACAACTCTGGTTTAAAGAATGTAAAAGGATGCCAACCTAAGTTTCCTGGACTTTCCCTCTTCTCAGTGACAAATGAGATTGTTACACTCAACTATTTGGAACCTCGGACAGAATACGAGCTCTGTGTGCAGCTGGCCCGTCGTGGCGAGGGCGGGGAAGGGCATCCTGGACCTGTGAGACGCTTCACAACAGCTTCTATCGGTCAGTGGAAGCCAACAGGCTCTTATTCACGAGCTGGGTGGGAGGGGGAGGAAGGGGAAAGAGGAAGGAAGACCAGGAAGGGTGGTGGTGGGTAAGAGGGTGGGTGGGGATGGAGGTGGCAGGCGTTTGCTTTTGAATGGGTGGGAAAGTGACAGGAAGGCCAGAAACTTGGAGCCAAACCATTCCTTTATTTGGTCTGAAGTCCTGGTCTGCCTCCCTGGGGGAGGGGGTCTGCAGCAACCCATGAGGACAGAGAAGGAAGCAGATGAGCCTTCAGGAAGGCAGGGACATCCCTGAGGACTTGGGATTTACTTAGCAGCCACTGTCCTGAGCCTGGGCACCTGCATTTTACCACCAGCATCCTGTTTCCATCTGAAGGGCCCAGGCCAGGCTCTTGTCGCAGACATATTTCAGAAACCCCAGTTTATTTATTTTTAAAAATAATTTCTAATTTTTCAAAGTAATTCATGCACGCAGTGAAAACATCAAATAGAACGAAAGGCTTTTATCTAAAGAACAGCGTCCCCTCGCTGCGCCCCACTTCCTATAGACAGCCGCTGTTGTCTCCTTGAGCCGTTTCTTACAAGAGTCACCTCCAGGATTCTAAATCGGGTAGTTCCCAAACATGAGTGTCTATCAGGGGCACCTGGAGAGCTTGTTAAAACCGATTGCTGGGTCAGTGCTTTATAGTCTTAGGTTCATATATATTTAATTCATATTACCTTCTAGGATAAGCAGTATCATCTTCCCCATTTGCAGATTGAAAAGTAGAATTTCAGAGTGGTTAATAACTTGCCCATGGTAATGCATGTTATGGCCCCATAGCCAATTATTATTATTGTTGTTGTTATTTTATCTAGGATCCCAAAGGCACTATTTTCTTATCCCAATTCATAAATTTTCCTATTTTTTAGTCCATTTACTAAAGGCAGAAGGATCTGAAATGATTTAGTGAGGAAACTAGGGAGAATATCTAGATCCTCTTCTGCAGGGATTATGCACCCCTAACGGAGACACCCTTTCTCCAACCACCCACCTGGTTTTCATCTGACTGGCAGCATCCTTTACCATAGGGAACCCACAGCTACTGTGGGGCTTGCAGAAGCTTGTACAAGTAAGAATTGGCTTCCTGGGGACCCTCCAGGATGTGAATACAAAATATAAAGTCAGAAACTATACATTAATTAGAGGCTAAAGGGACCTCTATAACTATGCTCACAGGGACCCCCGCTGCTGCATCAGGTTGCTGCTAAAAGGCAGGTTCGTTCCCCCTCAGGTCCGTGTTGATGAGTCAAAGGGGGAGGTCGCAATCTGACTCGAATGGAAAGTATTTATGGGGCAGAACATAAAACACTTCACAGCCCCACACCCTACTGTCTTCAACTCTCAGAATATGTTCCAGCCAGGATGTATTCAGAGGTCTCTTGGAATATTTCAAAGTAGTTCTCAGCGGTGGGCGGGAAGGGAATTCTCAAAGGTTCTTCTTTTCCCATCGTTCGAATTTTGCTGAAGTTTGTTTTTTAATTCATCTGGCAGTTGCATTATTCGTGTGTGTTGACTGAGGTGTGGTGAAGGCCAGCGAGAGCAGGAGGGGAGGGAAGAGCACACATTCTGAACGCACTGCAGAAAGAGGGCAGACGGGTAAAGGGAGGGAAAAAGGGAAATGACCATTTATAAAGTTACTTCTCTATACCTGGCACAGGATGAGGAGGTTTACATGCATCCTCCAAAACAGCAGCTCTCCTTTTCTGCTTCACTGTAAACCTGCCTAACCACACTGGGCAGCTCATTTTGGAACCTAGACTTCAGAGTTTAGTCAGAGGAGTTGACATCAACACTCTCAATTTGCCAAGGTTATGGAGAAAGGAGCATTAAGACCTTTATTTAGCATGATGCCAAACAAATGCATGCCTGATTGCTGGTTCCTACTAGACTGAGGGCAGTCAGACCGGGCTGGTGGGACTGACTTCCCAGAAGATGGAAACAGACCCTTCCTCTCATGTCTAACAAAGAGTTAGAACAGCATTTCTCAACTTTTTAAAAAAACTTTATTGCTTGCCCCCAAGGAGCTTTTTTAGATACCTTTGTCCTAATGGATTCTCCTCCCAGCCTCCATGAAATTTTAATATGACAAGACATACTCTATATCTGTTTGTGTATTATGATCTTTTGTAAACCATTACAATAATCTAAAATTTTCTCATACCCCAAGAACCAATTTTTTACCCCCTAAGGGTAGTAATGCCCCCATTGGAAATGCATAAATTAGAGGATCCCTATCCTGTGTTTTTGAAGGGTTTTATATCTGGAATAAAAAAGTCACTTTACTATTATTAACTGAAAAGTCAAATTCCTCCTTTGTCCATTGACATATGACAAGAGAAAAGAAGGAAGAGAGGGAGGGAAGACACTAATGTTAATAGAGCCCCTAACACCTTCCAAGCATTTCACATCCATTTTCTCATTTATTCCTCCTAAGTCTGGAAGATGGGTATTTTAATTGCATCTTACAGGTGAACTTGGAGAGAATATGAATCTGCCCAAGGTGTGAAACTAAAGCACATGTTCCTGTTTCTCTCATTTTAAAACCCATATTGTTTCTATTCAGCGAGGTCTCGTGGATGATTATGGCCAGGCAGCATGTGATAGTAGCAGATACCTTGATGTGATCAGAGCAGTGCTAGGCATAGCCCAGCCACCACAGCTGTATGATGTCTGAAAGTCTTCTTGCTAAGGGGAAGTAACCCTGAAATTGCTTTAAAATGTATTGCTCAAAATGGCAACAGAAACGGTACACACTCACCCACAATTCCACAAGCTCAGCAAATTCACTGTTTTCATTTTTATCAGTTTCCTTCCTATCTGTCACCATTGTAGACCTGACTTTTACCAAGCTACAATCAGCACTCTTTCTCATGTACTATAAATATTTTGATTGGGCTTCCATACTTTTCCTAGTTATCTATTTTAATCCACTCACTGGCTACATCATAATTTATTAAAGTATTTTCTTATTTTGAGTATTTAGAGGTTTCTTCCAATTGTTTGCTAATATAAATAATGTTGTAATAAACATCTTCGTGCACATAGCTTTTTCTTGTCCTCTGGAGTATTTCTTTAGGATAAAACCCTGGTATTCAGATATTAGGCCCAAAGTATATAATCATTTCTAGGGCTCTTGGTAAATACTTCCAAGTTGTTTTCCAATGGGGTTGTACTCCTATACTAAAATTACTCAAACTAAATATGAAAAGTGTTTTAAAGATTTGCTATTTAGGGAGAGAAAAAAGTGTCATATGGCTGCTAGCTTGTGTTTCTGTGATAGCTTCTGAAGCTACATATTGTTCTGGAAGCCAAGGTTATTCTTTAAAGCTGCCCTTTGGGGCTAACATTACCTCCACCTGCACCCTACAGAGAAATAATGATCTGTCTGATTTCTCCTAGGACTCCCTCCTCCAAGAGGTCTCAATCTCCTACCAAAAAGTCAGACCACTCTAAATTTGACCTGGCAACCAATATTTCCAAGCTCAGAAGATGATTTTTATGTGGAAGTGGAAAGGAGGTCTGTGCAAGTAAAAAGTGATCAGCAGAATATTAAAGTGCCAGGCAACTTGACTTCGGTGCTACTTAACAACTTACACCCCCGGGAGCAGTACATAGTCCGAGCCAGAGTCAACACCAAGGCTCAGGGGGAATGGAGTGAAGACCTCACCGCCTGGACTCTTAGCGACAGTAAGTGACACATAATGCCCCAGCCTCACCTGGAAAACATGTGGCTATTGCCATTTGGACTTAGCTACCATCATTCAAGACTATTTCTTAGAAATCATAAAAGGAAGTTGGTTGTGAGTGGAAGCTAATTAGTGTCTGTACCTAATCATTTTAATAACCTGTAATATATCAGAAAGCCCCATATATTCGGATTTGCAATAATTCAAGCAGGATTGTACTAAAATTTACCTTTCCTTGGTATGGAGTTGTTTGTTAAGTAAATTAGTAATGAATAAGGTTTTCTAAGGCTTAATCAGTTATAAGACAGTTTTTAAGGATTATCATGTATCTACATGTACACAGATGTTGATTAATTACAGATGGGTCTTTCTTAGTCTTAAAAGCCAAATAACTTTGCTTGAAAACGCTTTATAACAGACCATTTTTGGAGTTACTATATATGTCAGAGAGTAATATAACCAATCTTTTTTCAAAATATTCTGCATTTTAGGCTTTTCTCTATTTCTGATTGGTCATTAAAATTAGAACTTTATAGATTTATTCGTGGTATTGAAATTTTTTTCATCATTAAGCAGAGAGTTCTCATTTGATTCACTGACATTAGAACAGTGTGCATTTTGGGAGCCCTTGGAAAGATGAGCTACTTCTTGACCATGCCAGCTACCACTTAAGTCAGGATCACAGGATCTCTCACCAAGCCCCCAGATCTGAGGCTGTCCTCTGCATCTGGCCTCCACCTTCTCAGTGACAGGGGTAGAAGTGTTTTTCCAGCCACTCTTCTGTATCAGTGCCTTGTGAAATTCTGAACTGTTTTGTCAATGTTTAGACATTCTTTATCTTATATATGTTTTAATTCTGTGAAATTTACAAGTTACAGAATAGTGCAGAGAGTAACACAGCAAACATCTACATTCCTACTACCCAGAATTAACAACCATTAACATTTTGTCATATTTGCTTCCAGCATTTTTTTGTTGACTTATGGACGTAGTAACAATACGGATGTATAGAAATCCCCTTTGATCGTCATCCCTACTCTATTTCTGTTCCCCTCTTCCCAAAGATGACTGAAATTATGAGTTTGTTATGTATCTTTCCATTCAATGTTGTATAATTTGAATATATATATCCATAAGTATACACAAGCATACATATCATTCTTTTTTTGAATTAACATTGTGATTTTTATCTATCCATATTTATTTAGATCTGATGCATGCCTTTTAGACTTCTGTATAATATTCTATCTTATGAATATATCATGTCATTTATCCATTCCCTTTTAGATGGACAGCTAGGTAGTTTTCATTTTTTTACTATCATGAACAAAAAATGCAGTGGTTATCCTTATGCATGTCTGTGTGTGTGTAGGTGTGAGCTTTTCTAGGGAGCGTGTCCAGAAGTGGAACTCATGGCTACTTCCCTCTCAAGTGGCCATTCTATGTGCACTACAACCAGGAGTGCATGAGAGTGCTATTCCTTATCCCCCTCTCTGTATATATCTTTTCCCTACATCTATATCACTTGATAATGTCAGACTTTTTTATTTTTGCCCATCTCAAAAGCAAAAATAGTACTTTCATTAATTTCAATTTTCATTGCCTTGATCACTAGCAATGTTGAGCATCTTTTTCTATGTTAATGGGTCTTTTAGTTTCCCTCTTTTTTTGATATACTTTTTGATATACTTTGCCCATTTGTTATAGATTTTCTCTTATTTGTCAAATTTGTTTATATAATATGGATATTAATCTTGCTATATATAGTTCAAATATATTCTCCTAATTCCTTTATTGTAACCTTGTATTGTAACCTTGTTTGTGGTGGCTTTTGTCCCATAGACACTTTACATTTTGATGCAGTCATACCTATTGATATTTGCCATTATGATCTTTATTTTTTGTGTTTTGGAATGACCATCCCAAGGTCATTAATATATTTTCTACATCTTTTCTAGTAGTTTTAGTGTTTTGCATATTTAGATCTTTAAGATATAGGAATGATATTTTGGGGTATGGTGCTTTTTAATATTTTCAGTCTTATTTATTTACATATGACAAGTCAGTGGTCCCAATGCCATGTATTGAATACTGCCCCTGGTGACTTGCAATGCTTTCTGTATCATGTGCCAAGTTCTCATATTCATTTTGGATCTATTTCTGGACTCTCTGTTCCCTTCCATCAATTTGTGTGTGTTCTTATACCATTTCTAGCCTGTTTATAGATTTGTGAAATGTCTTGATAACAGTAGTGTGAATAACTACTTTCTTTTTCAAAATTGTCTTAGGTGTTCACTCACTATTCTATATTTTATCCTCATTAGAATTATACACTGTTGAAATCACACTCATTTTTGTTTATAGAATTAAACAAAAACTAGCAGTCACTGAAGGTGACTTGCTGTGGGTGACTGTATGGAGTTTGACAGAGGTTTATGCTGGTAGGGTGGTAGGGATGTGAGATTGGCAGGGTAGGAGTTCCTTCCTACAGAGTCAAGAATTAGGGGAAGGAGGATGTGAATAAGGAATGTTTCAATTTTAACTGAAAATATTTGTTGTTATGCTGTGTTGTCATTGGCAGATCTTGCATATCAGTTGTTCAGAAGTGAAATTAATGCTTCTAGTTATCAAGTTTGTGTCAGTTTCCAGCCTACCAGTTCCATCTGGTCCCAGTGTAGGATATGGAATGAATTAAATTTCTCATATGGCCCCCAAAATATGTAAAAAAAATAATATATGTGCATAATGTTTTCTTGTATAAAAACATTTATATGTAGAATATTTGATCGTTAAAATGACTTTATGAAGAGAGTAGGGTAAGAATTATCATCACATTTAGCAGATGACGAACCTGAGACCCAGAGGAGGGTAAGTGACTTGCCCAAAGTT